ATGGATGTAGCAGCTTTGGTTCTCTGAACAAAACTTGTACCATATATTGTTGGTACATCAGGAAAGCCTGGTGCATCAATAAAACTCTCACAAAAGAGCTGAGAAGGGACATTCTCACGTCTAGCTAAGGGACATTCTCATGTCTAGCTGCAGCTGTGGAATGGTTTAGTGTTCTGAAAAGGTTTTCTCTTACTTGTATGTATGAACTAAGTACATCTTTGAAAGGAAGTAAGAATGACACATTTTTGCTGTGATTATTGCAGCAGGAAGCCAGTAACCCCTTCTAGTGAGGTGTGTCACTGTTGTCCAGTGTGGGAGAAGTTCTAATGTTGCTCAAATCTCTGAAAGTTTTTCAGAATATTTTCATATTTTGCAGAAAGATAAATCAAAAGCCTCTTTTGGTGTGGTGTGGACCACATCCACCTTGCACTCCTACTCCTCAGATGGGGGACGGGAAATGTTGAATAATTTCTTCCAGCCCTTATCTGTAGCAAAGTTTTGAGCCCACATCTCAGAAATACAATCTCTTCATGAATATTTTCTGATCTAGGGTACAAATCCTTTCTCCCATGGAGCTGTTTAAGACAAAAGAATTAGTGACAACTGATGAAAGACCATTGTCTCCAGAGGGTTCTTAACCAGCTCTAGCAGTGCTGTGTTCAATTGTTTGTCCTGTTTTTCCAGCTAGAATAAAAAATCTGCTTTCTACAAACCTCACCTGTCAGGCTATTATGGTTAAAACAACATATTAATCAGGCTCAGCTATCAATATCAAACATTTAGCTGTTAATATCGAGAGTAAAACAGGGATAAATATTCCATCCTTTGTATAATCTGTAATGATAACAGAAATTATGTTTCTTAATGTATCATGTGCATTCAGAGTAGTTTTTCTCCTCAGCCAGCCCAATGGCATGAGAATGATTCTCAGAGGAAAAGCTTGAGCTGTGCTGTTGAAAACATGTGGTGACTCACCGTCGTAAAGCTTTGGAAATAAATGTGGAGAGTGGCCACGCAGCTTTGCAGACTTTACAAAAATTGAGGGAACTTGCCCCAAGTCTTCAGACAATACGTGTGCTTTGCATGGTAATTGAAGGTGACTGCTATCCTGACTGCAGTGGTGTTAATCTTCTCTGCAGTGATATGGAGTGCTATTTAAAAAAAGAAAAAAAATCAACAGCATAAAAGCAAAGCCTCTAGCTAAGGAGAAAAATATTTGTACACAGATACTGTTTTATTTATAACAGAGAGGAGAAGGCTTGGAGCAGCTACTCAGAAATGGGACATTTCACAAGACGCTGAGAGCAGCTCCACTTCTTGCTCGGGTTGGATCTAGGGTGGCTTGGGGTCTTTGAGCTGTGGAACTTCCCTGGTGGGTTCTGCTGCCCAGATTCTAGTCTTTCTATCTCCCTGAATCCCGTGATAGCTGGTATTTTAAGGAAACATTAAAAAGAGCAGGAGGAGCAGGGCTGTGGAACAGCATCAGCTTTGGAGGAGGCCCCAACCTGCCTGCTTCACACAAGTGTGTTGCTCTGCTGAATTCACCAGCATCATTTGCCCATACTCAGAGGTTTTTATGGTAGGTACATACAGATATTTTCCTTCCAAGGGCACTGCGAGAGGCTGTATTCTGGAATTGGCCTTTTCCCAAGGTTTTGCACCTATTTGAGCTCCCTGTGGGGTCAGAGGAAGTGAAATGAATAGCATTGCTCAGGACTAAGCTTTTTCTTTCAGCAGTTAAGGGATTATTCCAAGAACTAAAACGTGAAATAACCGTGCGTAGAACAAAGGCTCGCAGATTTTTTCCCATAATATTTGGCACGTGTTCACAGAGAATTTGCAAACTGGAGAAACAGCTTCCCTCAGAAATCTCATTAAGAAAGGCATTAGCTGTATCTTAATATAATTAAACAACTAGATTTAGAGCTAATATTGTGTGACTGAACCAGTCCTTTGTAACTGCTTTGCCGATGACAGTAATCTGAGAAACTTTGGCTGACCTACAGCCTGGCTCACTTGTGGCATGTGCCATGGGCTTAAAACCAGCTTGGTCTTGGAAATGGTCAACACCTCCCTTCTGGCCTCAGATCTCCAGGGTCTCTGGGATCGGCTGCTTCTCCTACAACTGGCTCCATGGGCTTCAGTGCAACTAGGACTGGCAGGTCTGTGCAGATTCTTAAGGCTGAACTTGAAAGAAAAAAGGAGAGCAAGAAAAAAAACAATTAAAATTTGGGTTTTGATCAGTCTGTAATGAACTTTTTAGAAAAGAACAGAACACGCTTTGGTTGAAAAAAGCATTTTGTCCATACCAGACAGTTACTATAAAAGCAAAGTAGATTATGAACTGGGCTTCTTAAATTGATGATGAGAATTATATCACTATCTTTCTTCTAGTCAGTAGCCTGACAGACTCAACATTTTCCTGTGGAAAGAACATTTGACTGAACCCTGCTCACTTGCTGCCATGGCTCATCTGTGGTGTAAAGATGGGAAGTCAGAGTCTTGCCCCCTGCTTCCATTGCTTTAATACCAGATCCCCAAAATAAAACACATTAAAACTTTGTGGTAACGTTTTTATTTCAGTCAAACTGCTTTGGTGAGTTTGATTGACTTCTGGAATTACTTCAGCCAACCTGAAGCAGAATTTTTTGGCTGATAAATTTGCCTTGATGTCCTTCAGTGGGACAACCTGGCCTTAACTTCAGCATTGTATTTAGGACTGTTTAAAAAAAGCCCAGATCCATGGAGTGCATTGGAGACAGACTGTCACCAGGCTCCTGTTTAGTAGAGGTGACTGGCAGCAGCTGCTGTGACTCAATGGATCAGAAATAGTTGTAGATAATGGATGGTAAGACAAAGACAATGTGATTATTTTTTTTTCACGTGAGAGTGGCTGATGGTGTGACAAGGTTTTATTATAACAACCATACTTCTGTTTTTCCAAGTGATGGATGCACGCAGCACTCTGCATAATCTTCTCTGGTGATGGATGTTGGTGCCGTGAAGCAATCGTTACTCATTGTGCCATTATTGAACATGAATTTTGAATGACTTGTGGCATAGAGCTGCTGGGTAGTTAAATCAACGAAATAGAAGTCAGGAAGAGCCAAAGATAATGTTCCTCCTGCAATATTAGTTCCTGTGGCTTGTATACAAACAAAGTTCCTTGTAACTAGTTAAGGAGTAACATCTCTGGAGTGTCCATAGATGGGATGAAGGAAGGAGGAGGCATATGAGCCAAAGCTTACTGTTCAGACATCAAAGGTGGTTTGTTTGTTTGTTTTTTTTTCTCTTCCTCCCCTCCAGCATTGACAAGAAAAGCTGGGAATGGGTAGGGAGGGATCAATAGTTTGGCTCTAGGAGGAAGATATTTCATCTTCCACGTGCACTGCTGGAGGCTGGAGTCAACCTGGAAGGTGAAGGAGCACCTTTCCTAGCTCTGCTCTCCAAACACAACGTGATGCTGCTCATACCTGGTGGTGCAGTTACACAGAGGAGGAGTGTGGGAGCACTGAGCCAGGCTGCTGCTTCCACGGGGCTGAGGGTGCTCCATGGGTTCCCAGCGCTGGGTTCTGGGGCTGGAGGGAAGCCTTGAATGCTCTCCACCTGGCCTACAGAGATGAGAAGAGTTAAGTTCTGTATATTTGTACATCACTGAGCTTCCCATCTCCAGTCTCACATCAGGAATGAAGTATTGAACAATACTTTTGTTTTGTGACCACTGACAAGTGGGTGAGTTTATCCTCTGGGAGATGGAGCATTCACTTCTTGCCCAAGATGCTTTGTAAAGCTAAATATGCAGCTGTGTGTCAGCAGTACCACTCTCAGTGAGACTTTTACGTGACCAAGCCAGAGGAACAATTGGTATTTTTCATGATTTTTGTTCTCCACAGCCTCACTGTTCATGTGGGGAAGGGGAGGGAAGGAAACCCAGGGAAGGAATGGCTCCTCAGCTCTGCCATGAAATACAGACCCATAGAGACTTGATTTCTCCTGGAGCATTTTAGATGACATGAGTACTCCTCTACATTTTTACATCTTGAACAGGACAAATTAACAACTTCTGGTTTCTGCTATACTATTAAATATATATTTGAATAGATGTTTATTTGACTGCTGTTAGGATGAAGACATTCACAAACATGTTTTAAGATGCTAAGTGTTCATTCCATTATCCTTTTAAATGAATGATAATTTTCTTCTAATTGTAAGCATGTGTATTTTTTGGCTTGTTTAAAATATTTAGGTTTTACTTCTACATTTTCTTTTCCTTTTCCTCTTTCTTCCCTTTTTTTCTTTTTCTAATTTGCCACAGAACATAGAGTGAAGGAGAGGAAAAGACAAAAGAAAATTGCACAAACATGTAATTGTCTTTGACACATTTTCTGCACAATTTTTTGGTTTTAGAATGTCTGTTCCCACTCAGTAATAATAATAACCTGATAAAAAAAAAATTCCATAAAGGTCTGTTTAATATAGATGGGATAGTCTAAGGGTGACCTCTTGATTTAATGAAAATCATAGCATTTCCTATCCTTGTATAGTATTTCCACAATAGTATTTCTAAATACAGTTTAATACAATTTGGCATGCAGGTACACCAGTCATTGTAAATAGCTGATATTTTTCAACAGATACTACTCAAAAAGTTGCTTCCTTTCCTGTGGCTGGGATGAAATTGCCCTCTCTCAGCTCCTGTGTTAAATTCCAAGCAATTTCAATTTTAACTCATTTCAGTATGAGGAGGGGACAGTCATAACTCACTCATTTATTTGAGCCTAAATATAAGGTGTTGTTTGCCTGGCATCATTGTGACTGATCTTTGGAAAGTTATTTTTGTTGATTTTTTGTGTAGGGCTTAAAGAACCTTGGAGACTTCTGAGAGTTTTCCCCTGCCAACCATGCCTGCTAGGTCTCATGCTGGATCTGGTGTTGAACTGATGCTCACTCTCACCAGTTTCCCTTTGCACTAATCAGATTTCTGGTTTCCTTTTGTCTAGATTGCGGTCTTTGGTAAAGCAGCTAGAGAGAGGGGAAGCTTCAGTTGTAGACCTAAAGAAGAATTTGGAATATGCTGCGACTGTTCTGGAGTCAGTATACATTGATGAAACTAGGTGAGTTAACTGCAGGCATCAGCACTCTTCTTACGTCCAGTACCAATGACACAAACTGTAGTTTGCACACTGGTTGGGAAAGTTGCTTCAGCCGAGATTTATTGCTCACAGACAATATGGTTTTAATCATTAAAATATTGTATTCTTTGTAGAACAGTTCTTCAATCCTTGGTCTAAAAGCTTCTTTAAGTTTCCTGGGGCAGGGGAGGAGATCAAAAGCAATCATAAATTTAATATATATTGTCTTGGAGAAATGTTTCGTGTCCCACTTTTTCTGAAAGTTTCTGAATTGCTACTCCTCTATTCCTTTAAAAAGTGTTAAATCTTTTCAATTGTATCAAGTCTTTGAAATTAAAAAAATTCTTGGAGAAATGTTTTCATAATAATTGTGTCCCACTTTTTCTGAAAGTATCTGAGTTCCTCCTCCTCTATTCCTTTAAGAAGTGTTAAATCTTGTCACTTGTATCAAGTCTTTGAAATTAAAAAAATTTTACTCCGGGTCATGATAGAGGTAAGACATTGCAGAGGAGTTCCCCTCTCTTTGATATGCCATTTTCCTAGTGCTAAATGCATTTGTAGTCACCTCGGATGACCAGAATGGGAAAGGAGAGGACCATATAATAATAACAACTGGGAAGTTAGATGTGACCATAAATGAGCTCTGGAGGGTGTAAATTCAGGATTGTTAATCTGAAGATGAGAAGTCAGTGGATGATTATGTAGTTGTGCTTTAGAAGGCTGATACTTGTTGGCCTAGCAGTGAGTTTCACAATCTGACATTTAACTAGACAAGAAAAGAAACAATCTGTTGAAGACTTGTGCAATTGTGTTCCATGAGGGCTGACAAACCAAAGATTTTGAAGAACTGCTTTAATTCAAGTCTATGTATGTGTTTCCTTTTTGTTAATAATGTTGCAGTGCTTTCAAAGGGAGTGTGTTTACCCATTTTTTTCCTCACCCTTCTAGGCGTTTGCTGGACACAGAAGATGAGCTCAGTGACATCCAGTCCGACTCTGTGCCTTCAGAGGTCCGGGACTGGTTGGCTTCTACCTTCACAAGGCAAATGGGGATGATGCTCAAAAGGACAGAGGAGAAACCTCGCTTCAGGAGCATCGTCCATGCTGTGCAAGCTGGGATATTTGTGGAAAGGTAAAGGAGTGTGCAAATACCTTCTTCTAGTAGCTGCCTAGGTGCTGCAGATTGCACCTGCAGTATGTGATGGCACAATGACAGGAGATGGAGCACCTTAGCCTAGAAGATCTCAGAGAACTGGCAGATAACTCTGTTGAATGAATGTGCTTCTAATGATACTTCTACACAGATCTGGACAGCACCTCAAAACCTGAGATTAAGGGACAGACTGGGGCATGAAGCAGCACCTAGAGATCTGTTCTTAGCATAATACAGATGTAATGGCATAGATGGAATAATTCTGACACAGAATATGCACCTCTATATAGCCCTAGGGCAAGAGTGACAGCTTTTAAAATTTGTCAGCCCAGACCAAGCCCTCCCTTGCCTCTGTTTACCTCTGCAGTCTGGTATTTCTTATGAAGAACTGTGAAGAAACAGCAGAAAATCCTGTATTATAGTATTACTGGAGTGAACTGTAGACCAAGGCTGGTGTGAAAACTTTGGAGCTCATGGAGGATTTCCAAAAAACCGTTGAGTCTTCTTATCCTCCTTTGTTGTGATTTGCATCAGAACCTCCTGCTAAAGCTGGTTTTACTTTCTGAACCCTTTAAAACATTTAATCATTTCAGTTCCAACTCGTTTCCCATCTTACCTTTTCTCACCAAGTAGCCACTCTTCACTGACATTGTTCCTTCAAGCTAGGAGGAGGGCTGGCACTTGTGAAACTCTCAGCAGACTTTAGGCAGTGTGGAAGACAGCAGCTCCCAGGTCTCTACAGCAAAACTCAAGTCAGGAATGAAAGAGCAGCATTCACTGTCCATCAGAATTGCTACCAGACCTCTGTGCCAGAGGTTTAGCACATCAGGCAGTGGACCACAAGCCTTTTCTGGCATGTCTACAGCCAGTATTTTTATCTGTGTGCCAAAGTTGCTGTACATGTGTTAAAAGAGCCAACAAACTGTGGTAAGACTAAACCTGCCTGACAGGCTGTTTGTGAATTAACCTTCACTCTTAGTAAGGGATGTGCTCAACAAGGAAGTAAATGAAGGCAGAGAGCTGGCTGCAGGAGGCTGTTTTCCAGCTGATCTGAATCACTGTGGCCCAAAGGAGGAAGTGTTCAGATAAGATATGGCACCAGAGGAGGGTTGTGGCTCTTCTGAGCTAAGGGACAGGGGCTTTGCCTGAATTGTCACTTCAGAGAAGCCAATGGGGCTCCTGACTGGAGAGAGGAGGGGGTAAAAATTCTGTCATTTGGGAAATGGGTGACTTTAATGCTTCAAATGGGGCTGGCTTTTTTAGGTCTGAGCGTAGAACATGGCAAAGAAAAAGAAGTCAAGGAGGACTTCAGTACAGGATCATTTCAGATGGGAGACGAGAGCTTTCCATCATCTCCCTTTTGCCCTACATTGCCTAAGTGCAGAAAGGGTGACCTGCAGAAAGGCATTTTAGCTGTGATGGTGTTTCTGCATTCACCAAGCCTGCTAAACACAGTGTGGCCTGAAAACAAATTTTATATCTGACACCTGCTTCAATGCTTTGTTTGGTAAGGTTGCAGACGTTGATTGTTGCTTATTCATTCTCTCTCAAACACACATATAGAGCAAACACCCAAAAGCTTTTATACCAAACTGAAAGAAATGCAGGCAAAAGTAAGAGCTGTACCAAACTGGAGCTGATCCATTCCAGACAACAAATGATTTCTGAAGCACATTCAGAATTAGGTTGCACGTGGACCAGCAAGGAGTAAGGGAACTGAAAGAGCAGTGTGGTCATCTGCAGTGGAAAATGGAGAACATCTTGTTTATCTGACCATAGCCTTTCCCTCTGATGAAGACCTGATATTGGCAGAGTTTCTGTGGTGGCCTGCCAGGTGACCAAGCTATGAAATACTGTGGAGTGTAGAGTCTCAGATTTAGGATATACAATAAGAATGGTATAGAGGATATTGTGCAAGTTAGGAATTAAGAAGGGAGGAAAAAAACCCCAAATTGTAGTTGGAGTTTCCTGGGCTAAATAAGGTCTCCTGGTTTGTTGCTTTATGATTTTTGTTCATTTGGTTTGTTTTTTTTTAAATTTTCCTTATGTCTTGCCTTATCTGTTTTATCTTGGTAGAATGTACAGAAGGACTTCAAATATGGTTGGTTTGAGCTACCCACCAGCTGTAATTGGAGTGCTAAAGGTAAGCCAAATAAAAAGGTCTGGGGTGTGGGGGTGTGTGTTTCTCTATCAAGCATCAAGATAACACTGTGAAATTTATTTGACTTGGTAAGGGTGTTTTAGTGCCTGCCCTTTCCTCTTCTCTGACGTCTAGTTTAGTTCACATGTATTAATCATTGACTGCCCTAAGGGAATATCCTTTCAATAAAGGGAAGAATAGAGTTCAAGGCTGTGGCCATTTTCAGGTTGTGTAGGTTACAGCTCTCTTCTAGATTACAATGATTAAACTGAGGACTTTGTAACATGCTGGAATCAGTCACAACCTCCCACAGGGAAGAAAGAAAACATGGAGAAAGGTGGAGAAGGAAAGGATCAATTGCTGTAAGAGAAGGGAATTTCTTGCATTGCTCAGCTTTAGGTCTTCAAGGTGACAGTCAGTTGAGGAATAATGGCCTTTTATGAGTTTTCAGAGGAAAACTGATTAGCTGGAAGTAGCATGAAAAAAAAAGTTTCAATTCATGGGACAATTTCAAGGTTCTTGACTTAGGCAGGAATTATCAAGACTACAAACATAAGATAGCAAACAACTGCCTACACAGCAGCTTTGCAGATTTCATGTTGCATGTGGTTCAACCATGCCATGCAGTGGTGAAAAAAAGTGGTACAGTGGGGCAATACACAGGGACTTTATGTGTAAAGCTCAGTAAGTAATCTTGCTGCTCTGCTCCACACTGGAAAGACCTGTGGAGGAACTGCAGGAGGTCTGTTGAATGCAAGGGGAATGATCAAACATGTCTTTCATGTACAGAATCAAAGCATCCATCCATTTTTTCCAACTGCAGGTTGAGCTTCACTCCTGCAAATGGGACCTAAAGTCTTTGTTCTTTTAGGACTACACCCCATAGCCAGCTTATGTGGGAACATATCTGTAATGGGACCTCTTCTCCTGAGTTCCTCAGCAGTAACAGGACATCCAAACGAGATGCATTAGCTACTTTCAGCTGACTTAAACCTCACAGAATCCATTTCCTCTTTCTATGGTTTTAAATTATTAAGAGTCATAAAGAGAACGGATCATGTTAGAGCAAGTTAAGACACATCAATGACAACAAAGGCATTGACTCATTTGCTCAGGGTGAAATATCATCCTCTTGACCACTGTGCACTCCAGGATGGATTTTTTTACAAAACTATTTTGAGAACGTGTCTTTGCCTGGATGGCCTTGGGTTTGGTAGTGGATGCAGTTGAAGTGGGAGTTACTTGTTTGAAAGAAGTCTTCTGTCTTTGAAGTAGTATTTCACCTTGAATTTCTCTGTCCCATCTCCTTAACAGGAAATAAGAAATTTTGTTGTTTGCTTCAGTCCAGTAAAGCTGAGTAAAAAATTCTTACAACTACCTGGCTGCTTGGTGGGCTCTGTAAAATGAGCTGATGGTTTGAGGATGTAGAAGGGTGTAGGGGTGTACCAGACACACCTCCTCTGCTGTTCTGGGTTGTCACAATCAACATTCCCCTCAGAGTCATGCTAGTAAGGACAAGGATTTAGATGACATGGAGTCAAAACTGGCTTATTTTTGGACTGTGTGCTCTCCTTTTTGCTGCCATGGCCAACGAGACATCTGCACCGAGTAACCCAAAGCTGTGGAATCAGCTTGGCAAAACGAGGTTGGTTTTAATGAAACAATTAAGTACTTCAGCTTCTGCAAAAATAGGCAGATGGAGCAGGAGTGGTGCAAGTCCTGGGTGTATAAATCCCTCTCACTTTTTCAGTGGGTGAGAAGTTAGACAATTTTTGGACTTCATTGCACAGCATCTCTGTTTGTATCTATATATTGGATACTGATTTTTCTACTTGCCTTTCTTCATGACATGTGTGTGGTGATGTACATAAGACCTGTGGCCACAAAAGGGGGTGACCAACCTTGTCTCTCAGTTAATAGTGACCATACATCCCATTCATACAGACGTGTTTGAGTGAGTAAGTGTGTTAGTTTACCCAGTAAGTTGTGGTGATCTGCTCTTCAGTTGTGTAGTGCTAGAGACACAATTTCACATTAACTAGTGTTGAAGTAATTTCCTGCTTTAGAAGTGAAGTTTTCAGGCTTTTCTGAGGCCCGTGCTATCATGGCAATATTTGCTGGGCTGGCTAATATCCAGATAATGAACACAGAACGTGTAGTCACTTATGAAGTCTGTAGTATAGACTTCTATTTGTCTGTGGCTACAAAAACATCAAGCCTTCCAGTAATGTTGAGCAAAATATCTATGCCTGGATGTGATTGTTGGCTTACAAAACAAATCAAGTCTCCAAGCTTAAGGACAGACAGAAAGGCAGGAAATTGAGAATTTAGGAAGAACTGATGTCTCACTTCATCTCTAAGTTCCCCCAAGCACTGGCCAAGTAATAGGGACACAGGAGTGAGGAAACACCTTGGTTCTATTTGCAGTTACACCACAGTGGGTACATGTGGCATTAGGGCAGGTTATGACACTTCAGATGAGGCTACAGGGACAGTGACCTAGAGACATGTGCACAAGAACAATTCTGATGTAGTATTCTGTAATTTCACAATTTGGCAAATTTTATCTGCTGCAAGAGCACAACATTAACTACAGGAAAAAATATATAAAGAACAAACCCCTTTTTTTTTCTATAAGATAAAATTACAGTAAATTAAATTTCAGCATTGCTGAGACATGATTTTCAGTGCCATAGGCCCCAAAAGTAAATAGTTACATACATGCAGGTGTTAAGTGAAGTAGCTTCATTGACTGAAATAAGTGATTACAAAATAAAAGTGCTCAGAAAGAGGAAAATACTTAAAACTGCCTGAGCATTTGGGCATTATTTTTCTTGCCTGTTTCCTAAGTTTGCTCAAGGGCTTCAAAACATGTTTTCTTGTTGGAATTTTTTCCTCTCTTGGTTGTTTTTCCTCTTCAACACCTACTGAAAATTTTGAAAAGCTGCAATTTATGATTGCTCTTCTGTGATTTGGGACACAAATCATCTCTGGAGGAGCTTGACCCTGCCTTCAGTATGTGGGCTTCATGCAGCTTGTAATATCAACTACTTGGCAAGCAAGTGATTTACTGGGGCAGGTGAAAGCAGAGCTGAATCTCCAGCATCCTTGATATTCACTCACTAATTAGTCTCTCTGTGGACTGTGCTTCCACAAGAGGCATACTCAGCTCTGTGTCATCAGCCTTACAAGGAGCAAGGCTGTCAGGATCCACCCATGCTGGAGAGAGCTGGGACCCAAATACATTGGTCTCATTCAGAACATGAGAAGCCCTGTGGCTATGCTGATGTATGGGGTGACCAAGGACAAGTCAGTTAAAAGTCACTCATGGTCCTTTGCATTTGACTTGAAGTCAGGTCCTTATCTGGAACATGATCAAGACAATAAACCACAAAGATGGGTAGGGTTTTAAGAGCTTGGTGGATTGTTGTAATTTAGCATTTTTAGTGTTGCTAGGAAAGATGGCAGATTTTTAGATGGATTTTCTGATCCTACACAGTACTCAACGTTATTGTTCTTGCTCAGAGAGAAGCTGCACACACTTGTGTGTGTCAAATGTAGTCAACTTTCTTGGTGGAAGTGCCACGAGGAAATGGGAGGTAACCTGCAACAGAGTTTGAAAGTGCAGGGGAACTTCAGTGTACAGATGTAAATCTTTGGGATGTGGTTTAAGGAGAGTCATTTGGATAAATCTCTGTGGGAAGTACATCAGAGTTCTCAGTGGGCAAGAGGGACTGAGAGCTGATGGTGTGCTAGGTGTAGCTGCATGGCTGATCTGTGTATCATTCCTCTAGCTATAACTCCTTCTGCACCTTTCCACTTTCTTGCTAAGGAGGAGGAGAGGAAGGTTCATAGGGTTTCAGGAACATCCAATTCTGAGATCAAGGAGCTTTACCTAGCTAGATAATGAGTGCTGTCAGCTTCCACAGCCTTCCCTAAGAGTGAGCACAACCTTTTACAAGAAGGTTTATGACTTCCACTTTAGCTTTGTGAACTGAGAAGTGAACTTTCCCTCCTCAGCCTCTTGACTGAGCACCCTGCAGCATTAATACATCATTTACAGCTGACTGGAACTTTCCCAACTGGAATTAGATATTTACTCTTCTGTTATAAAGGTCATTTTTTATATCGTTGTTATTACATGTATTCATGTAACATTACTGTGATTTTTCTCCTGCTCTGTAGTTTTTTGAAGCCCCACTGGACTCACCATTAAAAAAAAAAAAAAAAATTAAATTAGGGTTGTGCTGTCTTTGGGCAATTTAAAATTCTATGACCACAGTTCAGGATTAATATTACAAGCAGAAGGAACTAAGCTGCTCTTTGAATCTAGCACGATGGTTCTTCTAGTTAGTTATTTTGCTTGAGTGAACACTAAGTGGTAAAAATATGACCACAAGTGCCTGTGGGTTTTTTTACTACAAAAAACCATATCACTTTATTCTGTTTTAAGCATGAGTGAAGCATTGGAGAGCTTTGCTCACAATACAAAGTCATAAGACAGCAGAATCCAGAGGCTTTAATATCATTAAAAAGCATCTCTTTGTTTTCTTCAAAGTTAGTTTAATATTAATTTCTTAGCTTCTTTCTGTTTTAATTAATTTGTTTTAATATTAATTTAATATTCTTTTTCACAGACGGAACACATGGGTAGGGGACAGAGAAGGGTGAAATCAGCCACAGTAGGGCTGTCCCAATGTTTCAGGTTCTAAAGCAAACCAGGATTCTTACCTTTTTTGGATTCAGCCCTTGCTGATGAAATTCTGTGGAGAATTGCCATGTTTTAGAATAGTCAAGCAGCATACGTGTTCTTCATGGAAGCTTCTTAAACCCAAGTCATGAAATAGTGATGAGTAAATCAGACTCTGCATTGGGTAAATGGAATTGAAGAAGTTAAAAAAAAAAGCTATACACTTCCATCACCACTCTAATTCTCCATTTGTGAGTGTGAAGTGGTAGGAACTGAAGTAGCACTGTGGAAGAGATGACCATATTAACTCTCTTTTCTACCTGCCCTTGCAGAACGTCGACAAGTGGTCCTTTGATGTATTTGCACTAAATGATGCCAGTGGGGATCATGCACTGAAATTCATCTTCTATGAACTTCTCACACGCTATGACCTGATCAACCGTTTCAAGGTGAGTAGAAGATGAGGCTCTTCCACCTCAGATTTTGTTCAGCTTCCCTCTCATCCTGCTCTGTTCCATCCAAAATGCAATTTCAGTGCTCTTTGAAGGCTTTGTGGACACTGTACTTTCCCCAGTAAGCAGGACCAAATGTTAGTACTTTGAATTGCAATGGGACACCAGGAAGTAGATGAAGTTCCAGATGGGCTTACCCATTAAATCCATGGGAAACAGTGCATTTGATCCTGTGGGAATGATGGTGGCAATTCAGATTCTTAGGACTCTCAGCTTGCAGGCAAAAAAAGTAGAACTTGAATTTAAATTCATCCAAAGCAGTGTGGGCAGCAGGTCAAGGGAGTGGATTCTGCTCCTTCTCTCCACTCTGGTGAGACCTCACCTGCAGTGCTGTGCTATGTCCCTTCCTCCATTGACACTATTACTCCCCAGGGGTCCTCACTCTTTTTGGCTGGAAAGGGTTTACAGATCTCTGTCTCTTGTACTTCTTCAGGAACTGCCCACGCCTGACAAGAGTGTTTGAAGAGCATAACTGGTCAGAGCTCCATCCTCCCCTGATAGGTACCCAACAGGAGAACAACAGTGCTCCTCTAACTATAGAAATAGGTATTTTTAGGGTGTTTGCCATTTGAGGAGATGAAACTGGAGAACCTACGTTGCCATTTCCATATGCTAATTAGAAATATTTCTCCAGGGCTGATCCATCAGGTGCTTCCTGTTAGTCTCCATGCTGCATGGGTCTTCCAGACAACATTTCAAAGTATAGTTACTTGTGTGTGTTTAGACATGGGAATGAGTCACCCATAATGGGATAGGAAAGCCAATTTGAGGAGGTGGCCTGGATTCACTCTCTCTCAGGTGCCTGTTTGAGATGTTTTAGCATGTTATTCGTCTGTGAAGTAGAAAGTACTCCTTGGGACCTCTTACCAAAATGCTCTCCTCTGAATGCTAGCCATGAAAGGTGATTATTTTGCTTTTAATTCTATGCTGTTTCCCTCAGATCCCCATTTCTGCCCTGGTGTCCTTTGTGGAAGCTCTGGAGGTTGGCTACAGCAAACACAAAAATCCTTACCACAACCTCATGCACGCTGCAGATGTGACACAGACAGTCCATTACCTCCTCTTCAAGACAGGCGTAGTGGTAAGTACAGGAGTTGGCATCCTGGGTGGATAATGAGCTTACAACAGTTTTTGCTCAGTAAGGAGATTATGATTATCCACAGTAGAACCCGTTTGCACTGTAGAGAAACTTCATTTGATTTGGCTGTGCTAATGAAAGTAGAGATTTGGGATTATTTAGAGGTAGCAGGTAGGTGAAGATATCTATTACTCTTCTAACAGTGGTCTAAAGAGGATGAATGAGAAACCCAAGCTCAGTTCCTCACTCTGACACAGATCTCCTGGGTGTTTCTTCCAACACACTTTTGCTGGAATTAATTTTGTCTAATGTGAAGAAGAAAATTGTCTGAGCTCTCTTCTTACTTAAGGGAGCAAGGCAGTACCTCGATAGGATAATTCATTCCCCTTCTCTAAGGGTGGCAGGAGCCATGCTCTGGAGATGCTGATCTCCATCCAGTCTCTACCAGATGAACAGGCTTGCCTAGAAACCTGCAGACAGCTACAGGCTGACAACAGTGACAGGAGTGGATAAAAGGCTTAAACAAAACCACTTAGAGGACAGTGTGTTCCACAGTGGTTGCCAAGACAAAAACCAGAAATACTCTTCAAGATGAACTAGAGAACTTGAGGGCAGATTCCAGAGTGGTGGTCAGTTATTGCAGTTTGGGTTCAGCTGGTGGCTCAGGAAGTAGTTTGAGGCTCTTACTGAAGCTCCTGCCTTATGGAATGATCCCTGATTGTTCCAGGCTCCATGAGTGTTAAAGAAAAGGATTAAGGAAACCCTTGGTTGAATGTGACTGAAAAAAAAAAAATAAAAAATTATTTGTGTGCAGAGCAAACTTGATAGGAAGTCCTGGAGGTGTACCCAGACTGTCAGTTTATTGTGTTGGCTGGTTTGCTGCAAGCAAAAACCCCTGGCTATGGGCTTGAAGAACTTTAAACCAGAGGAGCTCAGGAGCTCACAGATGTATTTTTACCTGTAGAAGCCATTTTCACAACCAAGCTCCACTTCTGTGTTTTATTTCTGCCATTAAGATGAAGCTTTTTTCTCATACATCTCATGAAGTAGAGCTGTGATGCCTCTTGGCCTCACTTGGGCCCCACTGGAGATGTCCAGAGAGCACTGGAGCTCACCAGATCTTGTTGGACTCAACTAGAAGTTGTTACTAGAAGTAACAACTTTTCAGTATCAAAATACTTTTTTCTTAAGTATCAAAATGCTGTTTTTCCTCTCTTTTTCAGAGGAAATAATGTTCTGAAATACATGCAGAGGTCAAAGAATGTGCATGTTCCATATTTACATCTAAAAAAGGGAAACTAGAAGTTGTGTGTGTGTGAGGAAATATACCTGCTGGCCCTGAAGTCAGTGACTCTCTCCTGTACTGAGCCTTTGCTTTGGTGTTCCTACTGCAATAACCCCCACACAGAGTGTCCCATGCAGACCATTCTGATGGAGCTGCACTCCAGAGGACGTAGTGAAGTGTCTGCTGTTTCCCAGGAATAATCCCAAGTGCTAATTGTTCCCACAGCCAAGTGATACCTGGCATTTGGGTTAGGATCTAATGTAGCATGATAAGAAACCACTTTTTTTGGCTACCAGGAGACAAGGCACTGCATGCCAACAGAATCACACAGAATCACAGAATGTCAGGGGTTGGAAGGGACCTCCAGAGATCATCGAGTCCAACCCCCCTGCCAGAGCAGGAGCATCTAGTCTAGGGCAGGTCACACAGGAACACATCTAGACAGGTCTTAAAAGTCTCCAAGGTAGGAGACTCCACAACCTCGATGTTTCTGCTTTTCTTCCCTTGTTAAGATCATTTTTGAACTTTGTTTTTTTCTTTTTTCCCTTTTATTTGTCTTAGTTTCCACCCCACCTCAGTCTCAGCCCATCTCAAAGTGAATAGATAGTTTGAAAATGAGCTCTGGAGGCCATCAATCCCAACCTCCTGCTCACTGCAGGGATGGCTTCTAACATCAGCAATTTGTTCACATGTGGTAAAGAAAGGTAGGGGACACTTTGCTGTTTCCAGAAGTTGCCCACATCTATCTCTTCTCCTTACTGTAGTGGACATAGCTTTTAAGTTCAGCACTTTCACAGTGTTCATGCAAGGAGCTTGGACATGCTGGACTGCAAGACTTTGGTTCCAGAAGAAGTGATGAGGCCATTGGTTTAATTCTTCACTGGTAGGAAGACAAAGAGTTGTGAAAAAATATTATACAATAAAAGAAGGGAAAAAAAGCAACCCTTATCTTGTTAACTAGTTATTTGCAATGTGGAGAAAAGTACTTCTTTTTTTTTCAAATTTGAATAGTCAGTATAGTGGTAATTTCTTCCAGCCTCAAAGAGAAGAAACAATTGTCTGGTTTATCTTTACGTGGCTCATTTGCCTTTGTCATGCTTAGTTATTTACAGGCTCTCAAATGTTTTATTCCAGGCTTCTTTTTTCTTCTATTTACTTTTAGATTAAAAAAATCTTCTTTCCCTCTAGTCATATTCAGTGCCTGAGAACTCTTTAGTTCTCCTGTTATTTTCTTCCTCAGGATAATGCCTTGGAGTGAATTTGTTATACTTTATACCCTATGAAGTAGAGTATTTTGGGTTCTCTCATAGACATAAGGTTGAAAGGGAGTTTGGAAATACTCTGATGTTTATCTCTTAGAGGATTGGAATACAAGCATGATGTGTAGGAACAGCTTCCAAGAGCTGACACACTTTTTGCTCATTTCATTCTTTCCTTTATTTAACTCTGTTGTTCAGCTGTGAATATTACTTTCTTCAGTATTCTTTTCTGCTTAGCCTTTGTAATTATTAGGAATTATCATATGATTTCTTCGTGAATCCAGACAATGAGGTGCAAATGGTAAAGCTTGAGAGTTCTTTCTCTGCTGAAACTGCAGAAGTGCAGGACTTCTGTCACATCTGTTTGTACCGGGGGAAGGGAGACCCTCCTCCCCTCTAGCCTCTTGTGATTAATGCACAGACAGATCCTGGTGAGCTCTGAAAATGATAACTGCTTTGGAATAAAAGACCATAAACTCTGCGGAAGAAAACGAGCTAATTATTGCTGTCTGAGCATTTTCTTGGAAATGCATCCATGTGTTTTGTTAGATTTGGAAACACTGCTCTTTCCTCTTTCTTTCTGTGTGCATGGATCCTTTTGTTGACATGCCAGTGACTCGGCTAATTCTTCCTATTTATTGTAAATTTGTGAAAGACAATCATGCTTCATTACTCTTTTTTTGTTTCCACTCTGGAAACCAATGCTTATTCTCTTCTGCCTTCTTTCCTTCCATCCCCCACCCCCTCTCATCACAGAGAGTTTGAAGGTTTTGTTCTGGATTGTTTTTATCAACCCTTTAGAAATGAGTACCATTTACATTTCCTCCCTCTTTTCACCTGCAACAGTGTCCTGCTGCTTTCTCAATAGTTCTTGATGGCTTTCTTCTTTAAAACTGGTTCTCTGTTCCCACGATGAAGTCCATCAGAGACCAGTGAAAGGTAATATCACCACTTCGGTGGAGATTGCATCCATTCTCTGCAGGCTTTTTGCCACCTTCTTTGCTTTTTCCTGAAAGGCTGTAGCAGCAGAAAGAGGCACTAAAAGGTTCCAATTACTTGCCTGCTTTTTCCCTCCTCTTACTCACAAAGCTATTTTGACTTTGTGCTACTTACACTGATGTATTTATTACTCCCAGTTCACAGCTGTAATCCCAGTCTGTATTCTGAGTGGTCTTCCTTAAATGCTTTTATGATATTTAGTACCTCTCCTCAGATGTATTACACCCTATTTGATAACCTACATTACCCAAACTTGTCCAACAAGTGATGCTTTGATAGGGCATGCAAGTTAGCACTTTCCCTGTGTGTGTCTTAGGAGATGAAGTAGGAGACCTCCAGCACAGAGCTCATTGCCTCAGTGATGTTTTAAGACTTGGATCATAAGGTCCTGTTGGAGTGGGACTTGTCAGATGATGCCTAGAAGGTCTGAAGTAGATGCATGACACTAGCTGGGCACATCCCATAGAAGCTGTTCTTGCATATGTAGGTTTGCTGTACCTGTTCCTAAGTGCTTGTGCCTGATTTTTTTCTGCCATTTGCACTCACTCCTTTTGGGAAATGGCAGAACATGGTTGAGGAATGGAAGTCCAGATCTAGACACCTAGCCTGGAAACCTTAGTTCCTTTTTTTCCCCCATTGTGGTTGCCAGGAAGTTGAAATTGTGTTCTTCATCAGCTGTAAAGCATCCCTTATTCACAAGTCACACCTGGAAACAGATCTAGACACGTAGCCTGGAAACCCTAGTTCCTTTTTTTCCCCCCATTGTGGTTGCCAGAAGTTGTTGCTTGGTAGTTGAAATTGTGTTCTTCATCAGCTGTAAAGCATCCCTTATTCACAAGTCACACCTGGAAACAGAAACATCACAGATTTCTCCACCCCCAGTGCTGTCCATTTCTGTCCTGGGCCTGAGCAATGAGAAAATAGTTTGGTTTCAGTGTCTCTTCATTTCTTGACCTCTTCACAACTCTCTCAAAAAAGAAAGAAGAAAAATCAAGAGCTGTCTTGACTACAGTCCAAGGTATTGTGTGAAGTATCTCTGGACAAAACTTTCAAACTGCATCTTTAATGTGGGGAGGTCTTTAATATGGAGACTTGCTTCATTTTTCATTGGTTATGCAGAGATGGGTGTGAAAGGCAGGAGAAGAGCCAGGTCACTGTGTCCAGAGCCCCACAGTTATCTGTGCTTCCTCTGCATGCAGTTAACAGACCAGTGGTGACCCCTGAGCTACAATAGATGCCTAGAATAGATTTATGAAACCATACAGCCTTTACTGGGTTTTGAATTAAAAGGCAGTTTGTATATGAACATCTGGCAAAACGTTTGCAGGTTTACAGTGAGCTGTTACAAAAATATTTGGCAACCACTGTGGTAAAGGCTTGTAATATGTAATATGTTTGAGCATTCATACAAATATTTACAGCATCTACAGTATCTGGAGTCTTTGTCTCCGATGCACTCGATGTTAACAGCACTGTTGTGTGCCACCATTGGAAAACCAGACATAAAATGATTGATTGACTCAGAGGGAAATCATTAAAAGCATCTGAGTCATTTAGAAATCTAAGTCAAAAGTGACTTATGCATTGAAAAATAAGGCTTTGACTAGGCAATTAGGGAAAAAATAACTCTCAGGGCTTTCTCAAATGTTTCTATAAAGGATAAAAAAACAACCTGACATACATCTTGTGAAGTTGTGTTCCTTTTTCCTCTCATGATTCAGTGACTGATGAAGACTTTTACTGACTGGAAGTTAGTGACATATTCTTCTGTATTTGAGGCTCTGCTACCCAGGTCAGCTGAGCTGAGAATGCGTCACCTGGTGGTATGTGCACACCTGCACATGTATCATCAAGGTCCACTTGAAGAACCTCAATTTTCTTGAGGTTTCTCTCTCTCTTCCTCACTCCTTAAGAAGGTCACATGTTTCCTCTTGCTCTGCCTTAAGCTTTCTTAGCTCCTGAAACCATTTTGCTAATGTTCCATTTATTTAGATGAAACTTCAGGAAAACCACTCTTTTGGCTTTTACACATCAACCAGAGAAGTTTGCTTGAAAACAGCTGGCAGGCTGCAGGGGAAAGGCAACGATGTGCAGCGTTGGCTGTCAGCAGGGGATAACTTGCCTTAAAAGACAAAAGCCTTGATGCTGGGGGAAATGACAGCTTATCTGAGTGCTCTGTAATCTCTTTTCAGCACTGGCTGACAGAGCTGGAGATCTTCGCTATGATCTTCGCAGCTGCCATCCACGACTATGAACACACTGGAACCACCAACAACTTTCACATCCAGACACGGTGAGGGTGCTGTAAATCATGATGAAAGGTTGGCAAACGAAAGGAGAAACCTTTGGAGAATTACAGCATAGCCACCTCTAAAAGCACAGGAGCTTTTGCTTTCAAGTATTATAGGAGGAACGTTCACTTCCTTGGGTTGTATTTAATTTTCTCCTGCTCAACCATTTACAATGGAACACATGTATTCTGGCTTCCTGGGTATTGTTTCATATTAATAATCAGGAAAAAGGAAGGTCCCAAAATATTTCTGTGCAAAGGTGCCAAAGACAATTTGCTGCACTGAGCAGTGTATTTTAATGAAGGTATAGCTTTAGAAGGAGATACTATAATTCAACAGTTTTTTTCTCCTTGCTGATATTGAAGAATGAGACATTAACTGATAACATAAATCAAGAATTCAACAATATCTATATTCATTAGTGAACACCAACACTACACACATAATATCTTTACTTGGAGTGGAAAAGTTACTTTATTTTTACAGAGTGGAAGACCGTACCTGCAGCAAAGGGATATTTTCCATTGCCTGTTCTGGGATATAATTCTTTTAAAACTTTGTAAATTGCTAGACAGTCATTAGATGATCACAAACCAGACTGGAAAGATGTATTTTTTTGAACTCAGAATCTTCTATAAGGCTTTTGAGTTGGTGGAAGAGAGGAGAAGATGAGGATGGTAGCAGAATTCAGACGTGTGCAAAGATTGTGAAGTCTCTAGTTGCAGTGATAACTGGGCATCTAATGTCTGTGCCTTATTTTCACAGTGGGAGTGTGCTGGTAGCAATGACAAAATGTTTAGATGTCCTCAAGTGACACTGCACACTTGGGTATTTCTAAGCTGCGTTGCATCTTCCCCTGCAGTAGATGTCTGGAGCGTGTCAGCTGAGTCACTCTGTGTATCACAGATACAGAAAGGTTGCCAGGATAAATCACACATGCTCAGGAAAGCTTGGGAACACACAATGAAGTTTCTGTCTCTGTTCTGGGCCAAGGCACGCTCCACTTCTTACAGCTTCATGCGTGTAAGAGTTGGGCAACTGTGGTATTTCCCAAATATTTAAGGAAGAGTTCAAGGAAGGATAGTTGTACTTTAATTTCTGTAACAGTGAACATCAGAGGGTGTAAAGTGTATGGGGAGAAAAATATACACTGCTCTCTGGAAGCAGAGATGAGGGGGCACTGTAAGGAATCATGCTCACCCCCTGTTGCCATTAACATCCAGACTAGTTGATCAACCTCAGATCTATGTCTCAGAGCTTAAACTAAGGCATGAAGTACCTTTGGTCTCACTCTATCCCACTGGCAATTGCCCTTTGGACAGCACAGACCAGCACACAGATGACAAAAACCAGTTCAGTTGTATCTTGCTTACAGCCAGTTTGCTGTTCTGGAAACAATATCAGGACATATCTTGGAATTTCTTACTTGGGTACAGCCAGGCTTTAATATGAGAGCAACATGCACAAGAGCTGGAAAAGAGCTTCGTGATTCAACTCTAAATTTATGGCTCTCTCAAAGCTCTCAGCATTTCATTTTTTTAAGTATGTAGGAAAGAGACGAGGTGAGTCTCAGCTGATTAAATAGACTTTGTGGTGAATTTTGATCTTTAGTTTTCTTTTACTGAACAACAGCCATGAACAAAGTATTTCAGGCGCTCTCAAAACGCTCATATCTGTGCTATAGAACCAAACTCTGGAGCTGATCAAAGGCAAACCCCTGACTGTGAGACTTTTTAGCCAGGGAAGAGACATAACCTTTCTTATGTGTTCCTTTCAATGCCAGGTCAGACTCAGCCATTCTGTATAACGACCGGTCCGTGCTTGAGAACCACCACGTTAGTGCAGCCTATCGACTTCTGCAAGATGATGAAGAGATGAACATTTTATCTAACCTCTCAAAGGATGACTGGAGGTAAAAATCAACGTGGTGGCTGCCCAGGAACATTGCAGCATCACCACAGAATGTTACCTTGTGTGGATGGCAGTGTGCAGTGTTGTATATTAATTAGTGTTTCTATTGCTACAAGAACAAGAGCTTTGAAAGGTGTTATTTTTGCTTATTTCTGCTTTTTGTTTTCACCTCTGATAGTGAGACTAGACTTTGTGACAATGGATTATAATATACAAATGGACTCCCATCTAATTTCTAAGTCTCACAGAGATGCCCCTTGTACACATCTGTTTGTAACTGAGCAGAGAGCCAGCCTGCTGCTGGTTCATCCTAAAGAACACAAAAAAACCTTTATCTACTTTGACATTCCCTGCCTGGAAATTATAAATGAGACATAATGCAAAAAAGAATCCAGTCCAAGGAGCATAAATCAGGGTACTGTATATGCCAAGGTGATGTAAGAAGCTGTAATTTAAAATAAGCTTTATGCAACATGATTTATGTGCCAAAATCAGCACCATGATTTGCTTTCTAATAGCAGACAGGTCAAACTGATCAGGGCTTTCTGGTTTTCTGGTACTTTAAAAATAGCCCAGTGTGCTAGATAGGAAGAATCCTGCTCCATGGTCTCTCTTGTGGGAAGGGAAGCAACTTGTGGGATCTTATGTGATGCATGGTGCCTCCTGCATACACTTAAATGTGATACAGTGCTGAGCAGTCACTTCATCTTATTTTAATAGAAACATGGGGAAATGAGCCCTTCTCCAGGGCCTGGCTTCTGGCAAGCTGGTCAGTGAAGGCTCTGCTTCCTAATCTCTTGAGCCTCGATTTCCTATTTATTTCATCTTGTGGACAGGAATGTGATCTAATAGCTGGACCCCAGAAATAAAACTCAGGAATTTAGGTGGCTGATTTCAGTCAACGTGAGTGTTGTGGAGGAGTGGCTTGAGAAGTTCTATCCCCCAATATAGAAAATAGTCTCATAGTGGGCAGCAAGCAGGAACTTGGGAAAAAAGAAATCTGCATTGAGGTGTTAAAAATCTAATTGATTTTTTTAGCTACAGCTGGTAATGCCTTGTCAAATATTGGCATAAAATCCTTTTATGTTGGTGGAGGAAATGCAAGGAGCAAACTGCTGAGGAACAGCAGCCTTAGAGCCACTGTCTGCAAGGAACAGGGGAGCACCTGGCTGAGTATGTTCATTGCCTAGATCATGGCTGTAGGACAATGCCTTGGAGCTTTAAACTGGTTTTGCTTGAATCCAAGCTGGCTGTAGCTACTTCTCACTCCTTTTGCAGTGTCAACACATGTGTTCTGCTGAGGCAATATGCTTAGACCCGAGGTTTCAAAGATTAACCCATCTCTTTAAGAAATCTTGTAACTGCTTGAGAAAAAATCCTGAGTGGTTTGGATTGCTTGTTTGTTCTCTCTCAAGTAGAGCTTTATGATTTTGTAGTTGCTGATCAAGCAGCAGCTGCAGAATAAAGGCCATTATCTGGACGTGTTTTAATTCCAAAACACTGTGATTTTTGTGTGCTTTTGCCTCCCAGTTTGAAATCCCATAGGCAAACATTTTGGAAGCACTGGAAACATCAGCTGTCTTCAGCCGGATC